ATCATATAACATATTGTAAGAGTCTGCTAAGTGAATGTAGAAAATTATCAGACTCACATCACAACAAGGTGCAGGTACCAACAGGAAATAGAATACATGTTGATCATGTTGGAGATGCAGTGATTTTGGGAGATTGTAAGATTAAAAATGTTCTACATGTACCAGACTTCAGATTCAATTTACTATCAGTATCTAAACTGACCAGGGATTTGAAGTGCATGGTGTCTTTTTATCCTGACTTCTGTGTAATGCAGGCTCTATGTACTGGAGAGGTGATTGGGATTGGTAAAGAAGAGGAAGGTCTGTATATCCTGAGGCATAGGCATGAAGTTACACCTATAATTGGAGCTGCTCTAAAAGCGAATAATTCAACAGAGCATAGACTGTGGCATCTTAGATTGGGCCATCCTTCAATAAAAGTAATGAAGCATCTCTCAATGTTGAAGAATACAATTGATGAAAATGTGCAGACTGATTGTATGGTTTGTCCCCTAGCAAAGCAATGTAGGCTTAAATTCCCTTCTAGCATCACTCACACTACTAAGATGTTCCAGCTTGTTCACTTAGATGTCTGGGGACCTCATAAAGACCCCACTTATGATAGAAAACATTATTTTCTGACTATTGTAGATGATTTTAGCAGATTCACATGGATTACTCTGTTACAATCCAAGAAGGATGTAGTAGTTGTGTTGAAAAGTTTTATAGCCATGATTTGTAATCAGTTTGATTGTTCAATAAAAATTCTGAGGTCTGACAATGGTACTGAGTTTTTTAACAAGCAAATCTCTGATTTACTATCTTCATTAGGCATTATACATCAAAGTAGTTGTCCTTATACACCACAACAGAATGGTGTTGTTGAAAGGTAAACATAGACATATTTTGGAAGTTGGCAGAGCCTTGAAGTTGCAATCTCATGTGCCTAGCAGGTTCTGGGGTGATTGTGTACAAACAGCAGTCTATTTAATCAACAGACTGCCCACTGATGTATTAAAAGGGTGTTCTCCTTATGAAGTGTTGTTTGGGAAATCACCTAGCCTAGATCACATTAGAGTGTTTGGTTGTTTATGTTATGCTAGTGTGTTGCCTAGAGGAGGAAAGTTTGAGGCCAGAGCAAAGAAATCAGTACTACTGGGATTCTCTACCACACAAAAGGGATACAAGTTGTATGACTTAGATCAACATAGTGTGTTTGTCAGTAGGGATGTTGTCTTCAAGGAGAGGGTATTTCCTTTTAAAGATTTGCAGTCTGACAATGAAGGTCCCCATCCTTTGTTTTTACCCTTCTCAGATCATGCAGATGACGCTCCAACTCAGGATTTATATCTGAATGCTGACTTGCAAACACCAGAAGTTTCTCCTGTTGAATCTCCTGCACATGTCACAGCATCAGGTTCAGACCTTGCTGTAGATGAAATTTCTCCACAAACTCCTGTAGATTCACTGCAAGAAGAAGATGTGATTCCAGTTGCTCCCATACAAGAGGTGCCACTAGCCAATGTTGGTCCAAGGAAGACACATAGATCATGCAAACCTCCTGTGTGGCTCAAAGATTTTGTTGTGCCCAAGAAAGCTAATTCCCACTCTATTACTAATTATGTTTGTTATGACAATGTATCCCCAGGTTATCAAACTTACTTACATGCATTTTCAGCAACTATAGAGCCTCATTCTTTCAATGAAGCCTCTCAAGATAAGCTATGGATGGATGCCATGCAGCAGGAAATCCTAGCTTTAGAAGACAATGACACTTGGACCATTGTTGAGTTGCCACCAGGTGAAAAGGCAATTGGTTCAAAGTGGGTGTACAAGATCAAATACAAGTCAAATGGTGAAGTGGACAGGTACAAAGCTCGACTAGTTGCAAAAGGATTCACTCAAAGAGAAGGCCTTGATTACCATGACACCTTTTCTCCAGTTGCAAAGATGGTTACCATCAGAACCATTCTCAGTCTGGCAGCTTCACATGGCTGGGATCTTTCTCAAATGGATGTCAATAATGCTTTTTTACAAGGTGATTTAATTGAAGACATCTACATGGAACTTCCTCTTGGCTTCCAGAAGAAGGGAGAGAATAAAGTATGTAAGCTAAGAAAGTCACTCTATGGTCTCAAGCAGGCATCAAGACAATGGAACATCAAGTTTACTGATGCACTATTGTCAGCAGGATATTCTCAAAGTGCCCATGACCACTCCTTGTTCATAAAAAGGGAAAGAGATGACATGGTTGTGATTCTGGTGTATGTTGATGATCTCTTAATCACTGGAAGTAGCTCTCAAATGATTCAAGAGGCAAAAGCAACACTGCACAAAAACTTTAAGATGAAGGACTTGGGAAGTCTCAAATATTTTTTGGGGATAGAGTTTTTGAAGTCAAAGGAAGGGATATTATTGAATCAAAGGAAGTATGCCTTGCAACTCATTTCAGAAGTTGGATTAAGTGGAGCAAAGGTTGCAAGTACCCCTTTAGAGTTCAATCAAAAGCTAACTAGTGTAGAATATGATCAACACATTGGGCACACTACTGATTCTGCTGATACAGAGCTGGAAGACATCACAGCATACCAGAGGTTGATTGGGAAGTTACTGTATTTGACGATTACTAGACCTGATATTTGCTTTAGTGTACAGGTGTTGAGTCAGTTTATGCAACATCCAAAAACCTCACATTGGGAGGCTGCACTGAGGATTGTGAGATATGTTAAAAATTCCCCAGGCCTTGGAGTTTTGCTTAGAAGGGAAACAGGTCCTCTTGAGCTCACTGGATATTGTGATTCAGATTGGGCCTCATGTCCCAACACACGTAGATCAGTGACAGGATATATAGTAAAACTTGGTGATTCTTTGATCTCCTGGAAGTCTAAAAAACAGCAAACTGTTAGTAGAAGCTCTGCTGAAGCAGAGTACAGAAGTCTAGCAGCCCTTGTAGCTGAATTGGTATGGTTGGCAGGGTTACTTGTTGAACTGAATTTTCCAGTCACTGATCCAATTAAGGTGTTTACAGACAGCAAATCAGCTATACAAATAGCTGAGAATCCAGTTTTTCATGAACGCACGAAGCACATAGATATTGATTGCCACTTCATTCGAGAAAAGGTGAAGTCCAATTTCATTAGCCCCACGTATCTTTGCACTACTATGCAGCCTGCTGACATCCTTACTAAAGGTCTGGGGGTTAGACAACATCATCATCTTTTGAGCAAACTTGGTGTGCTGGATATCTTTCACCCTGCAGTTTGAGGGGGTGTATTGAATTACTAATAGAAGCCAACTAAGAATCTTCTAGAATCAGTTAGTTTGTTATAAAGTTGGTTAGAGGCTATTGATGCAGTAAAGGATATAACACGTGATTAATGTGAAGTTAGTTAGAGTCTGAGTCAGCACAAGTGTCATCTATATAAAGAGATAAAAGTGTATTAGATAGGGTAGTAGAAAATGCTCAGATTCTAGAGCTATATTGTAATGGAGATCCTACAATTTCAATCAATGAAGTTTTATGTTTTTACTGCTTTGTAGAGTTTAGAAAATTTATAATTTTGCTCCACTAAAGATTGTAGCAGCACTAATACTTGTTTCTTGTACTATAACCTGTTGAGATATAGATGAACATTTGTCCTCCATCTTCTGTAGCAAAGCCAGAAAACTGGTAATATGAGCATCCACAACACGAGACCTTGCATAAGTTTGCGTACGAAAACGCAGGGCTAACTTCTCCTTAAAATGATTCCAATCAAAAAATTGTTTGATGCAAAACATCCAATGGAACCATTTGAGGGCCTGACCATCGAGATATAAGGAAGGAAGAGGCAGTCACTGTTCCTCAGAGAAGCCTAGGAAAGTGAAGTATAGCTCTGCCCTATAAATCCAGTCCTCTGGATTACGGTCACCACTGAATCCATCTAATACCATCACTACCATTAGAGTACGTTAATGAAAGCACCAATGTAACAACTCAACCATGATATGTATTATAATCGTTGAAGAACACAAAATACAATTGAGAAATGGAAACAACAAACTAATAACAATTGATGTCCTTAAAACGAAACTGAAAAGGTTAACCGAAGGGAAGAAGATCTGAAAATATAGAGATAGATAGAAGCTCGATTAAGGATGGAGATGAGAGAATGAAACTCTTTACTCAACAATTTGCATAATCCCTAAATCACATACCACTACTCTTTTTGATGGAACCGTTCCCACTCCCACTTCTCAACCCGGATCCCAAATTAACCTGGCCCTATTGCTTGTTCTCGGCCCAATAGCTCTTTTCATCCCAATAACTACTTTCATGACCCTGGTATCCACATTGGGCTATACTTGGTTCATAACATATTCAAAACAAATAGCATAGGAACTGTTTTGCAATTTGCATTTTGAAATAAATTGTAAGAAAGTGAAATAGGTTCACACGTTCTGGCTCCATCACATTCTGGTTTATTTAAGCATTCAAAACATAGCTACAAATAAAGAAAGTGAAACTACTCAAATCTGAAATCACAAAATGCAACACTCTCAAGTACAAACAGTACATGTCTCCAGGTAGTACGAACGACTAAAGAAACCAGGTAAACAAAAAGTAACATGTTAACTTGCAGCTCAGAAAGAACACCACTGAAGAGATGCTAACTTCTATTATAACTAGTAAATTAATAGTTTCAACCTTGTATTTATAATTAGGCTTGCTAATATAAAGGAGAGGCAAAATGCATCATATTAACTTGCAGCTCACAAAAGAACACCATCGGAACAGATGCTGATCACTTCTATGTTTCTAGAAACGCGTTCTTGATTTTGTTAAGCCTCTTGACTACATCCTTCATAGTTATTCTTGATTCTGGCATTTCCTTTGTGCAATCTAAAGCCAATTCTATCATGGAGGCTATGCACATTTCACTTTTACTAGTGATTTGTTCTTCCTCGGAAAAGAGATTGGCATCCACAACTTCCATCATAGTCCCTGAAAATGATTGAGTTATCCATTTCCTCAAGTCAATATTTTCATTGCATATTTCTTCATCTGTTGGCCTTCTTTTGGTCAAAACCTCCATCAACATGATGCCGTGTCATCTTCTCTTAAAGTTCATTTGCGCTCTTATATATAGTTTACATGCTCATGTATCATCTGCTCTCAAAGTTCACATCAAAAATAACAAATGCTACTTATGATTTATTTCTATCTGCTTAACTCTTGTTGAGAGCCTCTTTCTATGATTTCAAAATAGTCCAACACAAAGCGCATACATAATATGATGTGCTAACAATCTCAAAGGCTATAAATGGAGCCCTTCAAGTGTAAATTATGTATTCAACTTGCTGATAGAAGCTACTCGTTTGAATAATCGAGGTGCTGACAAGCTGCCAGGCAACTACTGTTAAAAAGAATGACAGAAATATATGCTATGAAATTTTTTAGCCTGTGTATTACAAAATTGGAAATTTACGTAAATGTTTAAGAGACAATATGTAATTTACTATTATAACTAGTAAAATTTTTAGCCTATCTATTATAATTTATTTTCTCGCATTCAGCACAAGACATGTTTGTTGGATGGAAAACTTCTCCATTATTTAGCATTTTCATCTCTGCAAATTTTACCTACAAACATAGCTTCAATTGATGAGCAATGAAACTGAGAACGGGAGTGATTTCACTTCCTTGAACCACAAAACTTTCAAGAATATTTACTTTGACTGATACTGAGAAACAGGTAGATCAAATTTAAGTTTGAATTTAAATTATGTGCACTTGCGATGTAAAAACAATTGAATTATTAGAATCTGGTCTTTTATTTACCTGCAAAATTCACCAACTCCAACTATTAAATAGTTGAATATATCTATTGGAAGAAACTAATGAATCAAAAATATGAAGTAGAGGCAAACTGAAAGTAAAATAGTGCAGTTAAACACATTTCTTAATTTTATTCAAGCCCTCAAAACATTTTAAAGACTACTCAAATCTGAAATCACAAAATGAAGGAAATGCAATACTCTGAACTACAACAGTAAATGTCTACAGGTAAGCAAAAAGCATCATATTAACATGCAGCTCGGGAAGAACACCATCAATGGACTTGCTTATGGATAAAATTTTAGAGATTCCAAATTCACCAACATAAGCCACTATATCTTCATCCAAAAGTACATTGGATGGCTTTAAGTCGCAATGAACTATTGGAGTGACATGACCATGATGTAGATATTCAGCTGCCATAGCTGCATCAAGCATTGCAGTGACTCTTTGATGAAGGTTCAAGTGGCGATCTTCTTTGTACAGCCAATTCTCAAGACTTCCATTGGGCATATATCGCAAAACAAAGGCTCTTATATAGTCACTAGAACATGTAGTAATCACTGGAACAAGATTTTTGTGTCTAACATTTCTCATCACTTCGCATTCGGTATTAAACCTTTTGCATACCTGCTCATTTTCCAAATCCAGAACCTTTATGGCCATTGCAGTTCCACCAAATAATGTGCCTTTGTACACAGAGCCAGTGCTTCCCTCACCAATTAAATTGGATTCATCAAAATTATTTGTTGCTCGTTGAATCTCGTGATAAGAAACTAATTGATGAGTCCCGATCTCCAGTACCTTCTCCACATCTTTGGACTTCCCTTTCTTTTGTCGTTTCATTATCCAAATTGAAACCAACAAGAATATCAGAAAGGATGAAGTAACCGCTGGAGTAACAATTTTTAGCAAAACCTCCTTAAGCTTTGATTGTTTTCCAGGATTAGTGATAGCACAAGCAGGAATCTCCAATATGTGCATTCC